TGGAACGTAGCTGGCGCATTGGTTAGTCCAAAGGGCATCACTATGAACTCGTAGTGCCCATATCTAGTCCGGAAGGCTGTCTTATAYTGRTCATCAGGATGCACCTCTATCTGATGATACCCGGACTTCAAATCTATCTTGGAAAAATACTTCGCCCCCTGCACTCGATCTAAGAGATCGTCTATCCTAGGCAGTGGCTCAGCATTCTTTACCGCAATAGCATTCAGACCCCTATAGTCTATGCACATTCTCAGCTCTCCCTCTTTCTTAGGGACAAAGAGGACAGGCGCTCCGAAAGGAGACGAACTGGGCCTAATCCAACCCGTCTCGAGGAGCTCGTCTAAATGCTTGCGAAACTCCTCTAACTCCCGCGGGGACATCTTGTACACCGCACCCTTAGGAGTTCTACTGCCAGGCTCTATCTCGATATGGTGCTGGATGGGCCGCGGCACCGTGCCTGTCGGCGGCTCAGTCAAATCTCTAAACTCTTCCAGCAGCTTGGCAATCGCAGGGTCCATCGGCCTTTCTTCCGTAGGCTCAGTCACTGGCCTAACGTAGGCAACAAAAACCTGTTCCTCCAACTTCTCCTTTTTCACCAGTCTGGCGAACGCGGGGGCACTAAGGCGCCAATGCGCCAAGGAATTCTCTACCCCTGACACATGGAACAGGCGGGCAGTCTTAGCCTCGCCTGACGAACTAGGGAGCCTACACTCGTGCTCCTTCAAATGGAGCATGGCCCCGGCTGCCTCTCCCCAATCCATTCCCAGAACAATGTCGAATGGGAGGCTGTCTTCTACGAGGAGAGTCAGGGAGTGGAGGACCTTTTCCACTTTCCCATCCTTCTCTAGGCGAAAATACGCCTGGACTCCCTCTACGTAATCCTTTACAACGATAGTGCGATTGCCCGCGAGGATACTAACCATAGGGTCTGCTAGCCTTTGGACTTTAAGTCCCAGCTTCAACTTCTGCAGCGCTTTCYTACTAATATAGCTGCGGGTGGCCCCTGAGTCTACTAGGGCCCAAAAATCTCTGTATCTAGTAATATAATCTGCCCTTTATTCTCCTTTCTCATCTTGGCCCAGGCGGGCATCCTCTCCTTCAACTCTTCGGCCACGCCTGTGAGGGATGTGTCTAGCGAAACTCTAACACAAGCAGTTTCGGGACAGCCATCTAGACACCGGCCTGCAACCTCTGCCATAGGCACATGTGGTGTGGGAGTCTCCTGCCGGCTAGCGCTATGTTTCCCACATGGCCTAGTGGTAGGGGCAGTTGCTACCCCTACCGGCGGCTGCCTTTTGGCCCTTGAGCAGCCGTTCGGGTCTCTCGATACTTAGGACAGTATTTGATGATGTGGCCCGGGTCACCACAAAAAATGCACTGGCCCCGGTCCAATCGTTGTTGCCATAAGCTCTGGTCCAGACCCAAAGATTCCCAAGGCCTACCCTGCGGTAGGCCTGGGTGCCATCCTCCTACCCTATAGGGAGACCTGTTCCTAGGACGGTTTTGCGGGGGACCTTGACCCTGCCTCCCGCTTGGCGTTTTCCTCCTCGGCCGCCAACCCCCTGATCGCCCTGAAACCGGTTCCCTGAGGCCCGGCCCCCTTGGCCCTGGCCTCGTCCTCCTTGCGGCCTCCCTCCAGCCGCGACAGTAGCATAAGTCCTCCCCTGGCCCACACCGCTGTCATCCTCCTCTAACCCCCACTCAATCTGGTCGTAGGGGATCTCATCCACACTACCCTCGTCTAGCGTTAGGACAAGGCTATCCTTAGTCTTCACTTGCCCAGAGGTAGTGCGGCCCTTCCATTGCTTTCCCTTGTCCAAGTCTTTGTGCCAGAAGGTAGACACAGATGCTGACTTGGCTTCAAAGGCCACCACTTCACGACTAAGAGAATCATATGTAGTGGCCGGATCTTCGCTCTTCGCGAAGAAGTGCCCTCGCAAGGCTTCGGGGATAGCCCGGTAGAAAAGGCCGACCAATTGGGTGTCTGTGATCCCATGGTCAGGAACAGCGATTAATTCATCCATCGTGCTCTTGAGTACCCTGGCACTCTTCCACTTACGGGCGTGGATCGTCTGCAGCCTATCTGATGCTTTGACACTTCGAGCGACATCTGCAAATCGCTTGGGCAGCAATCTCATGAACTCAGTGAGGGAAGTAAATGCCGAATAGGCAGCGCGAACAAGGGATCTTGCGAAACTGGCGGCCTCATCTTTAAGTGCGTGGATCACAATTAGAACTTGCTGATCCTGGGAGACCTGTTGCAAATGCACGTAGGTCTTAACGTTGGCCTCCCAGTTATCAAAGTTCTTTTTCCTCTTCCCACTGTAGGAATCAGGGAATTTGACCTTGACTGGCTCTCTACGCGGCGGGCGTGGTTCCTCCTCCTTGGGAGCTGCAGCCTTGACGCCCTCAATGGCGCCAACGCAAAATCGTTCAGTCTTCTCGAGGCGATGATTCACCTCGGATCCTATTGCGCCTACCAATTCGCGAGCAAAGTCTCGAAACCCCATTCGTATGGAGCGCACGGCCATGTCATGGCTTCGACTAAAATCGTACTGTTGTTCTTGTATCCGGGCTAAGCGCTCGACAGTCTGGGCAATGAGTTCTACCTTTTTCTCAAGGTCTACCTGAGGGGTCAACCTCAGGGTTAGTTGCTGCATCTCCCCTAGGTCTTTGACCGCGTCAGTCGCCGCGTCCACTTTCTTCTTCTTTTCCCTCATCACTCTCAGCTTCCACTCCATCCTCGTTTCATCCTCCATTGCCTGCCGCCTCACAACATCCCTTTCTGCTTCCCACTCCTTCATAGCGGCTTCCTGCTCATCCTTGGGGATATACATGGCTACCTCTTCTTCTTCTCCCAGGGACAAGTTGGCGACCCACTCTGAGATTCGCTTCTCCATCTCATCATCTTTGCTGCCACTGTACTGCCCTCGCTGTTCTCTTCTCCTCTCCAGTGGCTGATCATCTTCTTCCTCTTCTTCTTCCACCTCCTTCAACTTTGCTTCCTCCTCTTTCTGTATCCTCTCCTTCTCTCTAGCCATCTCTTCTTCTATCTTCTTCAATTTGG